CCAGCCACTCCTCGGAAGGAAGGTTGGGCAAACTACTTCTGCAGTGATACCGCCTCGGAAACCCAAGGCAGGGGTTGCTATGAATCAGATCCGACTCGACGGCAGTGAGTTTGGTTTTGGTTTTGGTATATTAAAAAAAAAAACAGTTGTCATGGAATTGATTCTGACTCACAGCAACTCCCAATGGGTCAGCAGAGCTATGCCCCTGGGGGTTTCAGTGGCTGGTTTTTTAAAAGTTAATTGCCAGGCCTTTCTTCTGAGGTGCCTCTGGTTGGACTCCAGAGGCCCCCCTTCCAGTTAGCAGCCAAGCGTGTGAATTGTTTGCATCCCCCAGGACTTGTTAGCATCCCTGTTAGCAGACTATGCTTAGGATGGCTCTGGAAGGAGGCACGGGCCACGGATAACATTGGTCAGTGGGCTGTTTCTGGGGAGTGAAATCGGACGGCAGGGGATTAGGGGTCAGAGAGTGTTCAGTGTTCTCCTTTGTACCTCGTGTTAGAAACTATGTGGCTATACTATCTATTCATGAAAACAGAACTTAAACAAAAAGCAAGGTGCTTCCGGCCCCTGACTCTGAATGAGGTCCAGCTTTTAGCCCTCTGCAGGATCACTGATTCTGGGGACATCACCCCAGCTGGGGGTCCCCATTGCAGACAAGCTAGTTGAGCCGTGGAGAGGTGGAATGGAGAGGTGGGTAGGGTGGAGAGAAGTGGGGTGGAGAGGTAGGTGGACAGGTGGGGACTCGTGGCAGGGGACCGGGAGTAGAGCCTACACCGTGTACCTCTGTGTCCGGGTGCCTTAGTGCACCACCCACAGAGTGGAACGCAGGTAGGCCAGGCCTGAGAGGGGCCCCTCCGGGCGCATCTGCTAGGGCGCGGTCTGCGTTCCTCCTCAGGTGTTCTGGCTGGCCGGCTCGCTGCTCATCATCGGCCTGGCGTCCGTCGTCATCCCCACCGTCGGCTGGCGCTGGCTCATCCGCATTGCCTCCATCCCTGGCATCATCCTCATCATAGCCTTCAAGGTGAGGATGCCACCGCGGTCCCTGGCCTCCTCTGGTCACCCGGGGGCCTTTGGCCCACAAGCATCCCCGTGTCCACCGTGAGTGTGTCCCAACCCTCTTGCCTCCACCTCCTCCTCAGCCCGCCTCGTATGTACTGTTGGTTCCTGGAGGTTTATCCGACTGCTCCTCCCACTTGTCCTAGCCCCTCTCCAATCCTCAGCTCCCACCCACTGGTGCCTTTACATGCTCTCAGCCAGCTCACACCTACTGGGGGCCTCCTGTTCACCCACAAATCTGCCAGTTTCTCCACCACAGAATCCTACTTTCTGTTCTATGTCACCTGCCCCATGCAATCAAAGAATTCCAGAGGTCAAAGAGGCCTTCCCACACACACACACACACACACACACACAAGCCTGTTGTCCTTGAGCGGCTTTCAGCTCACAGTGCCCCCGTGTATGTACCTATAGGGTTTTCAGTGGCTGATGTGTGAAGTAGATGGCCAGAGACCTCTGGCTGGACTCGCACCTCCAACATTTTGGTTAGTGGTTGAGTGCTTAACTCTTTGCGCCATCCGGGGGTGCCTTAGTGGTCCTCTATTCAAACCTCAGCCCGTGGCTGCCGTCCCCTGTGGCTGCAGGTGTTTGCGGGACAGCCCCGCTTCGGTCCATTCCGTCTGCAGGTGGCTGGCTGTTAGAATGTTCTTTCTTAAACGGAGGGGAACAGACGCTTTTGTCCTTTTACCTGCTGGCTCTGGGACTCTCCGGAGGACCAGGGCTTTATTCTCCACCAAGAGACTGCTTTAAATATTGAAGCATCTAGGCCCCTCCAAGCCTTTCCTTCTTGAAATTAAAGAACACAGAGGAACACAGCCAATGGGAGATAGATCCCTATTGAGAGAGAAAGAAAGAGAGAGAGAGAGAGAGAGACAGACAGACAGACAGACAGACAGAGAGGAGACCAGGCTATGTGCTCCTGGTTTCTGGAAGTCTGTGGGAAGGACTCCATCTTCAGACACTCCTTCATGCTGCATTTTGCCCTTGGTCTTAGCCAGGGCCCACCATCATTGGCCTCGCCTCTGGCAGGCACTGTGGTATGTTGGCTCTGGGGCCAGCCGTCTTGAGCAGAGCCCCGGCACCAGGGCCTGGAAATTCAGTCCCTCCCTGATACCGAATGAACAGTGTGTCTCTCCCCGGGTGTGATGAGAGTAAGAACACGGGGAGCTTCCCAAGTAGTTCCGTGAGCCTTTTCCATGGAGTTGGTTCCTATTCACGGTGACCCTGTGGGACAGAGTAGAGCCACCCCACAGGGTTTCCAAGGCTGTCCATCTTCATGGAAGCGGAATTGCCCCGTCCTTCTCCCGCAGAGCACTGGTTGGTTAGAGCCATCAACCTTTTGGTTAGTAGCTGAGCACTTAAGCACTGCACCACCAGGGCTCCTTTCCCCACGTGGTCCCTGGAGCACAGTAACTGTTCACTGTGTGTCACTCTGTTGTACACAGGGTCAGAAACGACTCAACAGCATCTGAGAACATGTGCCAGCCATCGAGCGGTGTGGATTCCCTTTTAAAATGTATTCTGACTTTGAATCATTAGCTTGTCCTTTCGTCCATCACACACGCACTGAGTGTGTACCAGGCTCAGTAGTAGGTTCCAAGGCCAAAGAGAGGCGTAAGATGGTTTATACCACCAAGGAGCTCCCAGCCAACCAGTGGAGGTTAGATATGAACGCAAAAGCCCTCAGGAAGTGTGATCGTAGCTACCGCTCTGGGTGCTCAGGGCGAGAGGGGTGTGGTCCCGGGGTGGTGATGCTGGTCTTGGGCCTGTGGTGGGCAGAACTTTACAGAACTTTGGCAGGGCTGGGGTAAACCCAAAGAGCTCTGCTGGTAAGTGGTTAAGGCATTTGGCTCTTAACCAGAAGGCTGAGGCAGGCTGTTTGCATAAAGACTGACAGCCTTGGAAACCCCATGGGGCAGTTCCACTCTGTCCTCTAGGGGCACTGTGAGTCAGAATCAACTCCATGACAGTGGGCTTGGGTTTGGGTGTCTGTGCAGGGGAGGCTGGGCAGGAGGGTGGTGAGAATAGCACCAGGAAGCAGTTAGAAGGCAATGGGGACAGTCCCAGGGGGACAGGGTGAGGACTGGCCCTGCCCACATGTGACAGCAATGGATGGGGGTGTTGTTGTTGGAGCAGGGGTGACGCTGTTCTGAGGAAGCCCGGTGGGTCCAATTGCATGAGACTCAAGGGAAGGGAGGTGTCCAGGTTGGGACTCAAGGACCCAGCTCCGGGGAGGCCTACCTTGCTCCCTGGTGTGATGTTCAAAACATGCAACAGTTGGGGAGGCAGGGAGCAGCCCTGCTGGCGCAGCGGTTAAGCGCTCTGCTGCTAACCCAATGGTTGACGGTTTGAACCGACCAGTGTTCTGTGCGCCCATAAAGACTGCTGTTGTTACTGTTGCTGTTAGGTGTCAGGTTGGTTCTAAGTCATAGAAACCTGCCTCAGAGTAGAATGACACACAGCCGGCTCTGCAGCGTCCTCAGCCACTACCACACCTGAGCCCGTGGTTACGGCCGCTGCGTCAGTCCGTCTCGTCGGAGGGCTCTCTCTTTTTCGCTCGCTGACCCTTGGAAACCCTATGGGGTGGTTCTACTCTGTCACGTGGGGTTATTTTGGGTCAGGATCGACTCCATGTCACACGACAACAACAATGTGAAATGAGGACTGAGGCCTCTCGGCGTGGTTCGGGGGCCCCTGCTGTGGTCACCGTCGGGGTGGTTGCACGGTGGGGAGCCTGGAGACATGGCGAGGGCCTTTGGTGGCCGGCCGAGCAGTGGAGGGCATTGGGGGCCTGGGGCAGTGGGCATCGCCACCTCGCTGTAACACTGTCACGTGGTAAGCGAGGTGCGGCCGCTGGTGACCGCTCAGTACCAGGCTCTCTCCCAGACGGGCCAGCAGGGCCAGAACACAGCCAGTTCGTCCCAAATCGGCTCTGAGGTCTCGAAGCCCTGCTGTGTTTTATGGCTCCGAGCTGGCTCCATTGCCTTCCCGTCTGGGGAAACCAGGCCTGCTGGCATGGTGGGGTCTCTGACGCCGGTCCCTGAAGGTCTCTGTCATCCGTGCCAGTTTATTCCCGAGTCAGCTCGCTTCAATGTGTCCACCGGGAACACCCAGGCTGCCCTGGCCACACTGGAGCACATCGCCAGGATGAACCGCTCGGTCATGCCCGACGGGAAGCTGGTGGAACCTGTCCTGGTGAGTGTGGCCTGCCTGTTCCACTCAGAGTCCTGGGGGTGGAGGCCGGGGGCCTGAGCTTGCTGGTCAGAGCCTTGGGGGGCAAGGTCTACGCAAAACCTAACCAGCTACTGAGGACTCACTTCGGAGTCCTGGTGACACGTATGCGTCACAGCAGAGTGGCATACCATGGGATTTCCCACGCTGTAATCTCACAGAAAGGAGCCCTGACTGGCATGGTGGTAAGCATCGGGCCGCTAACTGAAAGCTTCATTCACAAGTTTTGTCAAAGAGTAATTTTATTTTTATTTCTGTTTTGTCATTTCCATTATTATTTTGTCTTTAACAGTGAGTTACCTTTTTCATGATTTATTTCTAACTTAATTGCATTTTGGACAGAGGATATTATTAAAAACTTGCAATTTATTGAAATGTTCTTTCTTGTCCTTTATGTAGTCACTTTTTGTTAATGTTTTATGTGTGCTTAAAAATAATATGTGTGCTCATTAAACATGTGTATGTAAGTGTATTTAGGTGTGTCTCTATAATGTATATTTACATTTCATTGCTGTGTAAATATTTGATACTTGACATAACAGTTCCTCAATAAGATGATGGCTATGTCCGTTTCTCCTGACAGGTCTGGCAGTTTGCTTCCTAGACTCTAAGGCTAGCTGGCTGCTGCCTCCTGCTGTATGGCTGAGGTGGTTTGTGCGTGGATTCATCTTATTGTTTGAAGCATCTCTTCATGCCTCTACTGCTTTGTTCCTTAAATCCTGTTTCCTCTCATGTTAGTGGGTCTAAACCACCATTGGCTAGCATTGTCCTGGTGGATATTTTTCTAGCCCTTCATTTGTAACTTTTCCGTGTTGTTTTGCTTTGAATGTCTTGTTTGTGAGCAGACAGCTGGTGCGTATGTTGTTCACCTGCTCTTCTCTTCTGTTGGCGTGGCCGTGACTGTGCCTGTTCCTGACCCTGCTCCTGCTCTGGGCCTGGAACGACAGCCTGAGCGCAGCAGCCCTGCCCACCCCCATCCACAGAAACCTCACTCTGAAGAAGCAGGTGGCCCATGCAGGACAGGTCACGTCTCAGGGTCCAGTCCTAAGTGTCCCCCACACAGGCATGAGGTGGGCTGCTCTGGGCGTTCTTGACTGGTTCCCTGGACACCACTTGTGGAAGTTCAAGTTGTATGTCCACTTGGCTGGGCCGGGTTGACTGGCTGGGCAGCTGGTGGTAGTTATTCCCCA